TGTTTAATACGAATCGTGTACATTTTAGTTCTTAACTTCTTATTTAATTTCATTATTTTTAGAGTTCGGCTGAGAAAAAGAAATGATTGAGACACAATACACAATGAGAATATACATACATTTTATGTATAAATTACATCTACAATTTAAACTACATTATGTAATTTAAATGTAAAACTATAATACATCATCATCATGAAATAATGCTATACTTTCATCTTGTAGTGCAATTATGTGAAGAGCTATAATATGCACTGCATTCTGCAAATTATAGTGTAGTCCAATAGAAAAGCATGGAAAATGTCTGTCATAAACCATATTGCCTTTCAACAGGATTCCTGTCTACTTTTCATTTGCATGGTAAAATAAAACTGCCAAATTTTTTAATTATATTGATTTAGCTAACTCTTAAGCAAAATGTATGGCCCCGAAAAGGGCCTTTTAATTTAATAATAGACTAATGTCTGAAATATATTTGCATGACTTTAAAAGATTATGCAAACATTTTAAAAGATAAATTCTAAAGAAATCTGCTATTAATGCATTTCTCTTTGCAAATCCAGCTGCATTGTGACTTTTGACAACAGGCACCGGAACATCTTCATTCATGTTGGAACTGTCATATTTCCATGTGAAATTGCAATGTTACGAAGCAGTGCAGTAGCAACTATGACAGCCATAGCATTTTGATGGTTGCGTGGCATCTGTTATTTCTTTCAAAGAATAAATAATTGATATTAATTTTGAAATATATATGATCANGCCGAAGTTGCCCCGATCTCCCCTATATTGATACATAATACATTTATATGTTGGTAATTTCATATACGTGATTATGTATATGAAACTACCAACAGATGCCGCAGGAGAACCATTATACACAGAATATAATTTTCGATTACGTATGACATTCTTAATTAATCACAATGCTTTACTTTTGTTTCTATCAATATCTGTTTACAAAAATAAATGTAGATTAAGTCATTATTTTAGCTGTAGTTAGAAAAAGTTGAGATACCGTTTGAAATTTTTAACATAATTTAACCCCCGAAACTCAAAATAACCTAAACGTGATAGAAAATAAATAATGTAAGTTAATATAACTTAGAATCAGAAATTCTCTGTTGCTATCTCACGAATTTCATAAATTAAAAAAAAGTTTTTAATAAGACAAAAACAAAGTAAGCATTTTCGTGTTATCAATAATACTATTTCTTATGTTATTTCCATTGTTCCGCTTACGTTTCATTGTTTATCTTATTTTATGCCTATTACTTTGTCTATATAAATAAGAAAGGAAACATCGGCAATAAGAACGGACAGAAGGTGATTTTCATGATTTTTATTTGCATGAGGTAAACTGTGCGAAAAAACACACTGCTTGCCCCTTTTGTATCCTGTTACCACAGCGAAATTTCATTAGACGTGTCTGGAAGCCATGAAATGAAAAAAAATAAAAAGCCGGAAAACTGAAGCCCCAACATAATGAAAAGANTGATCTGTTAGTAACTTCATAAGCGAGATGGTGGCTTAAATGAATAAATTGTTTCACATAAATGTGATTTATACTGCATTTACATATGTATTCGAGTGATATTTGTTGATAAAAGTATTATATTTAATAAATTAATGGTTACAAATAATGCATTTATAGCTTTCGTTCCAAATTTGAGATGTAAAATATCGTACAACAATAAAGTTTACAGAATTTCGGGCGAAAAAATTCATATGAGGATGCTGGGCTTATATAATGGAGAATAACATAAATAGCCAAATATTTGGTATTAAATAATTCGAACACTTTTATTAATTGGCAGTTTAAAATTTGGACTCTGAGCATTCCAAAGTTAGAACAATATCGAACCTAAAGCAGTTCTCGATAGAGATTCGAAAACGTTTGTTCTTGAATCTAAATATAGTACAATGGAGCATCGATTATCCGAATATCGATCAACCGAAACGTCAATTAACCGAAAGCTTTCCAGTCGACAAAGTTAAATTTTTGCTAGCGCTGTAGTGTTGCAATTTTTGGCTATGTCTTTGGCTACTCCAATATTATTTTTGTTCATGTACGTGTTTTAGTTGGCAGCACTGTCGCGACCACGAGAGGGTACTTGATTATTTTCAGCAAAACTGCAAACTTAAATACGCTTAATTGAAATTATATTTACCAAAAAACCCTAATAAATAATCAAATTACTTTTATTAAAGTACTTTAATTCGAATCGCCATCAACAATATAAAGTAGAAAATATCATCATTCCGACATTAATCATCAGAAACAATTTGCAGGATAAAGACCATTAGCATTTTGTACTTTCACGATTATGAAGATATTTTGGCAGTAAGGAATACTGTAGTTCAAATAACCACCGATATTATTCCTTCACGCGTTGATGTACATTTATACACACGTTAAATGAATATTTATCTAAGGTTTTGTATTGTGAAATAATAGTATAGTGTGGTTTTGTTTGTTTCTTAAGTTATGACAACACAACACTTGAGCGATTTGTCTAGGGGGATGCTTTCCGGATGTCTTTTTAAGGGTAACTTGCCCCTATTGCGATATATATATTTCTTCACTCTGTGCCCTATTCGCAGTACCGTCTTTATAGTCTCAATGCATCTGGCAGTGTTCTTCCTTCGCCACACAATTTGACACCGTTTCCAGCCCACGAGCTCAAATCTCAATTCGTCGCGTCTAATCACGTTACTCCAAAACTCTGTAAATTTTTAAATTGCTCCTTTGTAAAGGCTAGCCTCTTCGCAATGTTCATCTTCGAAATGAACGGCACACGGCATGCGATAATCCTTTATACCCAACCTCATTTTTGTGACGTTGTGTATCGTGGCCAGATAGAATGATGAAGATTTTGAACGGTGCCGAACCACTCGTATGTGTATTTTTGATAGCGGTTGTAATGTTTTTATTTTCGTACTGTTCAATGACATTAAAAAAATTCATCTGACCCGTCAAAATCTTGTGTCCGTAACCGACGGAACACCTGCCACGATCGGTCCTGCTGTTTACTTCATCACATTATATAAGAATGATGCTGAGTTCCCAATTTTTTCATTATCACCGCATCGTTTATTTATCAACAGGCATTATGTACAAAAGTATTGCATTGTGAACATGTGAAAGTTGTCCTAAAAATTATAAATTCTATTCGAGCCAGACCAGTTCAGAGCAGATTATTCAAAATACTGACTGATGAACTTAATGCTGAGTATGGAACGTTAATGTGTTACATTCTTAGTAAAGTCCTATAAGGGAAAGGTCCTATAACCTAAAGGAAAAAGTTCTATAACCAGATCCACAATAACAAATGAGAATCTGAATGATTGTATGACTCTCGCTGTAACAACTTATGTACCAGAATACAATAAACTGGCCGAAGACATTCAATGTCAGTCTTCATAGTAATTATTAATACAAGACAATTCATGCTATACAGAGCCATTAGAGATGCAATGTTACTGCTCAATATTGACGCCATTCTGAACGGTCTAAAACCTGAAGACGATTGATGTTCGGGGACGTTACTCACATCAGTGTGATTGTCATTGTCTCCAGATTGATTTACAATGTTGCGAATTTGGCAAACTTTGCACTTCGATAACCAAAAATGGCCGCCGTTTAGACCTGGCCCGTTATTTGAAGTTGTACTGTATTTGTATAATTGACCTAAAATTATATTAGTGATTATATAGAGTACACTATTTAAGACAATAAACAATATTTTAGATATAGACATACATATTTTACCATTAAATTAATTTATTATTTACATATTTTTTAAATAATTAACGCGTGTAACATATCTGTAAGTACGCTGACCTGGTGGAGATTTGGGACTTAAAATCCCACTTCTCGGCACCAGTGTAAGTTAAAATTCCACTTCTCGGCACCAGTTTGCCGACTTTTAGAGGAGGATTGTTAATCCCATGTCAGGATGATTTATAGTTGTTCGCGTGTGGGTGTGGCGAAGGAGACACAGATGACAAGAATCTCACAAAAACCCGTTTACTTTAAACATAAAATAACTTACACTATGAAACAAAAATGTTCTTAAACACAATCGGCTATTCAGAGGTCCTGAGCGTCGATGTTGTTTCGTGGTTCGTCGATCGAAGATGGCCAAGGAAAAGTGGTGTTAATCAGTTCTTAAGGCTGGTAGGGAGACGGTTGGTATGGCGACACGGCCCTAAGAAAAGACAGGAAAAATGTTCTTTTGTGCGTTGACACACGGCGTGATTCGGAACTTCACTAACCGAGTTCAGGTGCACAGTTGCACAGTTTACGGAAAGTAATTCTGTCCTTGAAGATCGAGGATTATATCAATCTCCGTTCTCCGATTTGCTTATTCTGATTGGTTCCGCGTCCCTTTTTCCCGCTCTGCGATTGGTCCGTCGACTGTCTCTAAGCGAAAGACGACTCCTGTTCGAGTCACGAGAAAGATCCGCTTCGAAGAATCTACTTGACACCAGCCGTTTACTCTGGATAGAAAGTGTTGATGGAAAATGGAACTTAAGCTCATATTTGTCCTCCATTGTTGTCTAATTTGTGGAGTTTTTGAAGTTTAACGACCCGACGCGATGTTCCTTTTTATCGTTAACCTTTCCCCTTTCCAAAATTTCTATGTTCTAATTATTTGTATACGAGCGCTTTGTCAAAGGTCCATCTCTACTAGAGGGCGTTCGATTACAATTATTAATCATTTATAATTATTGCGTTCTGTTTACATCAATAGTACATTTTTTCCTCGTCTCGGTTTTATATGACTAGCACAACTAATTTTAACAATGGACGATTTTTATTCTAGTTTCGTTTTAATAAATTTCTAATAATAAATGTTTAATTTCAATCCATTTTTTGCAACCTCACATATCTGTATAATATTATTTTACGTATTTAATTATATTGAAGCAGTGTAGGTGTGTTTAACGTCTGGTCACGTGCTCTCCTCCTCCACAACTACGATACGAGAGATAAATCCGTCCTTTCAGCTAATATAAAACAAGGTTTTCATGGTCACTGAGCAATTCAGGATTATGTTTAATACGAATCGTGTACATTTTAGTTCTTAACTTCTTATTTAATTTCATTATTTTTAGAGTTCGGCTGAGAAAAAGAAATGATTGAGACGAATTTACGGAAATTACATACGGATAAAATGAATTCGAAACCAATTCGGTATTGACACTAAAGTTACTCCATATTGAAAATGGCGAATTCAACTGTGTTAAGAGGAGACTAAAGTACGTTTTCATCCAAACATTTTATTAATTCTCTTATTCGTTTATTACTGTAAGATTTAATAATATTTGTATATAATATAATCCCTGTTCACGCTTTGTAATCCTCTCTTTTAGTGTCAATTTCCTATTGTAATTATTATATGAAATACTGTATTTAAGTTAACGTAAACAGAAACTTACTATACTTTTTGAAGCTGTCTTTGTGTTGTATTAAGGCCATTTATTAATTGCGTGTACCGTTTTTAAGCCACAGTTGACTCTTCTCCGTTTCTATTGTGGGCATTAATATACTTTTGAAAAAACTCCCTCCTTTTAATTACGTGTACGATAGTTGATGGATTTCGACATTGAAGAAATTACTTAAAGTTCGGCAATACTTTTTGATAATTAATTTACATGACTAGTAATTAGGCTTATAAGAATAAAATTCGTAAGCCACATCACAAATAAGTCTACAAAAGTCCAGGTAGACAACGCCTCTTGGACATTAGTTTTTGCAATCCCCTATTAAACTGTACCCGTAATTAATGGACGGCCTTTTATAAACATAAATATATATAATTTATCAACTCATTTTTTTTAAAAAAAATCAATACTTTGGAGTATTTTTAAAATCAAAATTACAACAGGTTTAACGTTGCAAAGGCGTAATTAAGGGGGAGTAGGCACTTGCCCCGGTTATTAGGATAATTATTAAAGCTCTCAAGTTATATATGAAAATTATTTATGATTTATGTTTGCAATGAAATATCGCATTGAGAAAAGGAAGCAATACTAGAGCTGGAAGTAAAAAAAATGGTGTTTAACGTGATATTTTTTACGAAAGTAGGAAACTAACAAAGTAAAACTCTTATTTCATTTACAATACTTTTCAATTTCATATCTCAGTTTTAGATAAGGTTATCGGTTTTTCCAAAGGTTATAATGTAATTTCTAAGGCAGGTGTTCCCAATCTTCGTTTTTATCAATACATTCACTTTATTTAAAATGTTATTTCCTAAGAATTTCCGTAATTTCATATCAAATTGTACGTTTTTCAAACCAAATTCATCTTTTTGCAAGCCAAAATTTACCTTTTTGCACATTAAGTTTATAATTCGCTGGTTGTAATTTCACGTATATGAATATATATTAATACATAATACATTTGTATGTTGGTAATTTCGTATACGTGATCATGTATATGAAATTACCAACATACGTCGCAGGAGAATCATTATACTGTTGATTGAGTACACACAGAATTTATGTGTCTTTGTCTTTGGATGTGTCTTTGGAATAAAACACAATACTAGTGTTTACTACTCCACAAATATAAAACAGGACACGGTTTCAAAAAGAAAATCAATTTAATTCCCTATTAACACGTGATAAATACATTACTTTACTTCTTTGTATTACAATAAAATTTTAAATTAGTTAACAATTTACAATCGATTTTATGTACTATAATGTATAAAAGCGTGAGAAAAAATTTATAAAAATACTTGATATTATGCGAGTCGGGGGCCGTCAAAAATTAGATTACGCAAGTTTGGGGTAAGGCCCTGATACAAGGTGTGTTTTCCTTACGACATACCAGAAAAAGAATTGTCTTCTCTTCTTTCTTCACATTCTCTTTCTGTTTCTTTCTTCCTTTTGTCTTCTTTCTCCTTTACCTGGTCTTTCACTAGGTCCTTCACTAGGTCGGTTGTCACTTGTCCGGTCAATCCCCTGTCTAGCCACTCAGTCAGTCATTATCTTGATCCTGTGTCACTGTTAATTTTCGGCACTTCTTTCTATATTATTCTTTGTTTTTGACCAATCGTGCTTTTGTTCCGGAGGAAGGTGAAGTTATTTGTATAATGTATGATTGGTCATCTAGTGGTCCTCCTCCTCTCTTTTCAACGAAGAATGATGTGCGAACATGGATAGCATACCATCGAAAAAAAGGGAAACGACGGGCATACCCCTCATCTTTTCCTTCGCATGTTATGAGATTTATAACACTTAATTGATAATTTTTTTATTTTAATTTGTTTCTGTAAATTATTTTAAATTGATATTACTAAAAGTTTGGAAAAGGGGGGTCCTTAAAATCAGAAAAATAGGCGAAATATCTTTATAACGTTGGTTGATAGATAAACAATCTCGGTGTCACGTTTACATATCATTTTCGAGATGTGAGTCCAAAGGGCGTTCTGTAACAATTGTTCTTTACACAATCAGACAGATAAGGTATTTAAAAAAGGTTATTAAATACACAGAGTTTAAAATAAAATAAAATTTCTAACTGATAAATTAAAACGAATACATTGTTAGCAAAAAAGATTAAAATAAAGTGATTAAAACTAAAATTATNTTGTAATTATTATATGAAATACTGTATTTAAGTTAACGTAAACAGAAACTTATACTATACTATACTTTTTGAAGCCGTCTTTGTGTTGTATTAGGGCCATTTATTAATTGCGTGTACAATTTTTGAGCCAATGTTGACTCCCCTCCGTTTCTATTGTGCGCTTTGATATACTTTTGTAAAAACTCCTTCCTTTTAACTACATGTACGATAGTTGATGGATTCCGACATTGAAGAAATGACTTAAAGTTTTGTAAAGCTTTCTGATCATTAATTTCCAAGACTAGTAATTAGGCTTATAAGAATAAAATTCGTAAACCACACCACAAAAAAGTCCACAAAAGTGCAGGTAGACAACGTCTCTTGGACATTAGTTTTTGCAATCCCCCTTGAACTGTGCTTGTATTTAACTTTTATAAATATAAATATATATAATTTATCCACTCATTTTTTAAAAAAAAATTAGTACTTTGGAGTATTTTTAAAATCAAAATTACAAAAGGTATGTCGTCGCAAAGGCGTGTCGACTGTCCCATTCACATAAATAAAACAGTAGAATTTAGCCTATTCCTTGAAAACCTGTTAGCATTGCAACAACTTTGAAGTCAGCATGCGCACACACACATACACATTCCACTTACACTCGTATTTTATCTTGTTCACCATTATCTCTATGTTGTTGTAAGTTTCTTTTATGTGAACAGCACAAGTGACTGGAACAGACAGATGTTTTTTTTTGCAATTGTGCAGCAATACTCTTTTAAGACTGAATTTTGTTGAGTCAATAACGAGTCTTCACTCTGTAGAATCCTATGGCAGCTAAGCTTCTCCAACAAATGTGGTATATTGTTGCAAAGAGATTGTCCTTCATTGAAGAATTTCACATTTCCCAATTCCGTTTTTTTTTTTTTTGTGATGGGACTAACAGGGAGTAGGCACTTGCCCCGGTTATTAAAATTATTATTAAAGCTCTCAAAATTATATATGATTTACTTTTGCTATGAAATATCGCGTTGAGAAAAGGAAGCAGCATTACAGCAGGAAGTAAAAAAGGGTGTGAAACGTGATACAGTAGAGCGTCGATTTTTCGAAAGTCAATCATCCGAAACGTCAATCATTCGAAAGAATTCCAGTCGGCAAATTTAAATTTTCACCAGTGCTGTGGCGCTTCAATCTTTGGTTATGTCTTGGGCTACTCAAATATTTTACGTTTTTGATACTAAATTAACTTCTGAAGTATACTTTTTTATTGTTTTTATATTTTTCAATATATTTATTTTGTTTGTACAAAATAAAAAAATAATTTTTAACGATACAATAGTCTTCGTTAGGCTTAACATCGACGAAAATTCAACGCGAAGCGACACGCAACGGAGAAAAACATCAACACGGGATAAATTAATATATTTTTTCGTACATAATTGGTTATCCGAAAAATAAGTTATCCGAACAACCCCAGACCTCAATTGATTCGGATAAACGACGCTCTACTGTATTTGAGNCATTCGTGCATAGGGGTGGTTGCGTCTCGATAGCTATAAGGGTGCGGGAGATATGAGGCTGAAAGTGGTTGAAAGTGGCTTTCTATTTCGAATGTTTTGTTCGAATTTAATTCGAACTTTGTTCGAATTTGTTCGAATTAAATTCGAATATAAAATTCGAATATTGGTTCGATTATAGAACGATTGTAAACGTTCCAGAATCGTTTAAAATAGTTCGTTTGACTTCACGTGAACAGGAGACGTTCAGAAATCGAATCGGGACCAGGGCCGTGTTCAGTAACGCAGAATTCTTACTAAGCCTAGTTATGCTGCGATGTTGAACTCGTTTCTAACTACTGCTTGACTCCTCCCACCACTAGCTTCTTTTATGTATTCTTAGCTCCGCCCACTAAACCACTCAGAATTCTAACTTAGGTGTTCTGCGTTACTGAACACGGCCCAGGTCTCTAATTAGTCTGGAAACGGGGGACCTACTTCTTGCATTCTGTGAAAACAGGTAAGATTGGATATAATGTAATTATCTTAATCTTCACTATCGTTACTTTTTGCCCAGCGAAGCGGGTCCTTGCAGCTACATTCTAGATTACTTAGAAAAACAGTCTTTTTTATACCTTATATAAAACAAAACTATATTACATACAAATAAAAACCCAGCGAAGCGGGCCCTTGCAGCTAGTAGTTTAATAAAAAGTTATCACAAAATCAGAATAAATGCAAGCTGCAAGGACCAAAAATGTTAAAAAAGTAATCTTTTCACTTGAGTTTGGTAAAAATATCAATAAATTTAATCTAAAAATGGCAGTAATGGATTCCTGGTACAAAACAAAAATATGTTACAACCACAATGGTTAGAATAAAACTCCAAATGCTACAATTTCAATCCAGTAATTACAGCAATTAAATTGATTGATAGTAAAATTTACAATGATTTAAAATTTCAAGCAATTAACATGATTATGGAAAAGAACCCCGGCAANGAGATATCAATGAGATTTTGAAATAAATAATGGCACACGTCGCAGCATTTAAGGAGAAATATTTCACGAATGAAAATGTGCATTTCAAAAATAAGAAGATCTTTGCAATTATTTCCACAAAGATTTCACGAGTGAAAATTCAGGAATTCTTAAACGACTTTCAATAAAGAAAAGTTTTCATAGTTTAATAAAAAGTTATCACAAAATCTGAATAAAAATAAGCTGCAAGGACCAAAAATGTTAAAGAAGCAATCTTTCCATTTGAGTTTGGTAAAAATATCAATAAATTTAATCTAAAAATGGCGATAATGGATTCCTGGTACAAAACAAAAATACGTTATAACCACAATGGTTAGAATAAAACTCCAAATGCTACAATTTCAATTTAGTAATTACAGCAATTAAATTGATTGAAAGTAGAATTTACAATGATTCAAAATTTCAAGCAATTAACGTGATTATAGAAACGAACCCGGCAAAAGAATAATCTTCGATCAATTAAATCCGTTAAACCCATTACCTGTACTTGTAATTCGACAACTAAAGTGACCAGCAGAAATGAAAACTAGGTCGATGTGTCAGTTATTTTATTTTATTTTTTATTCATTGCTGATTTGCATACTTAGCGTGCTTAATTATAATGCTTTACTTGTGTTTCTACTAATATCTGTTTACAAAAATAAATGGCATGTCTACGAATGTCTACATTCGTACCATGCCATTTATTTTTGTTTAGACACTTTATTGTTCCGTTTACGTTTCTTTGTTTATCTAATTTTGAGCCTGTTACCTTGCCTATATAAATAAGAAAGGAAACATCGGCAATAAGAACGGACAGAAATTGATTTACATTGTTTTCATTTGCATGAGGCGCAATAAACGTAGTGCTTCCATTACGTGTGAGCATAATATACATTCACCGACAACATATAGGGGCGCATATATGGTCAAAAAAAGCAATTGCTTGGATCCCTCACCTACAATGTCCCCAAATCAATGTAAGGTAAGAAAATATTACCCCCAAAAATTTTCTCGCAGAAAAATATCTGAAGTCAACACTGTATACGGGTCTCCGAATTCAAAATTTCCTGGGCTCCATGAAGATATAACGCGTCATTGCCTTTGCATAGGACAGGGATGGCGAACCTTTTTTGTGTTCGCGTGTTATATTGTAAGCATACTTAGCTTTAAAGATGTTTATGCGTGCCAAAGTTTCAGACTTCGAATAGCGATATTTAAAGAAATTTAACGAATACGCTTTAATTAGAATAAATGTGAAAAAGCTAATTGAAAAAAAGTTGATCAGTTGATAAACCAAAAGGATGATTGAAAAAGACAGAAATCGTATGATACATTACGTGCCAGGTAATTTCTCCTTACGTACCACTTTCGGCACGCGTGCCATAGGTTCTTCACCCCTGGCCTAGGACTTCATATACTATTGCGCCTGTTCAGCATCCGATTATGTATTCAGTAATCTCAATAATAAGCTGTCTCAACTCATTTTACGTTTTATAAATAGGTAATTTAAAATCATCCAGTTCTCGTTTCAGTGTTTCGGTAATTTTCCTTCACGCTCATTGATATTCTCTCTTTCAATTTTCATTATCAAACTTTTTNTTCGACAACTAAAGTGACCAGCAGAAATGAAAACTAGGTCGATGTGTCAGTTATTTTATTTTATTTTATTTTTTATTCATTGCTGATTTGCATACTTAGCGTGCTTAATTATAACGCTTTACTTGTGTTTCTACTAATATCTGTTTACAAAAGTGAATGGAGTGAATAATTGAAGCCGTTCGATAGTCATTATTATATTTATTTTTAAACAGCAAAACTGCTTTATGGGCTTTGCAGCATCTCTGTTGTTTCCTGCTTCTATAACTAGTGTTTATCAGTTACATACTTCCTTTCGTTTCTCATATCTCATCAAGTCGGTTTTACCATTAAGGCAAACTTAGACGGTAGCCAAGAGGCCGGAAAACTGAAGCCCTAGCATAACGAAAAGACATATAGCCGTTAATTAGTGTTAATTAATAAATATTTTTTTTTTATGTTCGTAATGATGGATAATTTATAATATACATAACACGACAACGTATAGGGGCGCCTAAATTCAGTGGCACGTTATCCTATGGTGAAAAATGGCAATTGCCTGAGTCCCTCACCTTCTAGATTCCCAAACCAATGTAAGATAAGAAAATATTACTCCCAAAAATTTCCTCGCAGAAAAATATCTGAAGTCAACAATGTATACGGGCCTCCGAATTCAAAAATGCCTGGACTCCATGAAGCTATAACGCCCCACTACCAAAATTTACTTTGCCTAGAGCGTCATGTATTATCGCGCCTGTTCTGTATCCTATTATTTCTACTGTAATCTCAATATTAAGCTGTCTCATCAGATTTTACGTTTCCCGAATAGCTGAATTAGAATCATCCAATTCTCGTTTCAGTGTTTCAGTAATTTTCCCTTCACGCACGTCGATAGTCTATCTTTCAATTTTCATTATCAAACTTTTTACGTAGTAAAAAACGAAAAATTATTCTAAATGAACAATCTTCAGCTAATTGTAAATTTTTAAATTGAAAATTAACATATAATAAAAGTTGGCTAATATACTTTTTTTTTTCAATTTCAGTTTGCGGTTAAATTTGTGAAAACGTAAAACATGAACCTTTGTAAGAAGCTTTACAAAGATATTTTGAAATCGCCAATTGCATTGGTACTCCTAATATACCCTATATGCGTTATTTACGACTACAATCTGAAACACGACGTCCCGAAGTTTGTGCATTCAGAGGATTTAATCGATTTTACCGATTCAAACAACGAAACTGGATATCCTCATTACATTATTCCAGATATTGTTCACTTAATTCGCTTCGATAATACAGACTTGACGTTCGTTGATATGGTCAACATCAAATCCATACTTCTTAATCACAAGCCGGAGAAGATAATCATCCATTGCAATTGTCACAACTTAACAGGAAAATACTGGGACATGATTAAAGACATACCACAACTGAAATTGCAGTATAGAAAGAAACCAGAATATATTTATGGTGTAAAAATTAGCTATATACAACACGCATCTGATATCTCTCGTATAGAAATCCTTCAAGAATATGGAGGAATTTATTTAGATAACGATGTTTTTGTTGTTAAGTCACTACACGATTTTCGAAGATTCGAGTTCGTTATCAATTGCGATATAAATCAATATTTAGGGACTCAAGTGATAATAGCGCATAAGAATGCAAGATTTTTAAAATATTGGCACTATTCTTATAGGTATTACCGACCCGACAAATGGTATTATAATGCTGGTGAATTACCATCAAAATCGATTCTTTTCGTGCTTCCAGAATTTGCACATAGAGTGGTTGGAGGATTTGGAGTGGATATTAGTTTAATTTACATGTTATACGGAGAAAGAAGCGAAAAATGGAAGAAATTTTACACGCTACATCTTTTAATACATCATCATTATATGGCACCCAACGATCGGCCAAAGATTTTCGATGAAAATAACATTAAAACCTATAACAGAACCTACGGAGATATGGTCAGATCTGTTTTAGGAAACGAAATATAGTTTATAAGTTAACAATTTTTCGTGTTTTTTATTATAAAAGCTATAAGAAAGTGTGATTAACTAATATATAATTATGCATTTGGAAAGATTATTTTTCATTTTTGGACCCTTTCCGTTCTGCGAGTGCCTATTTTCCAAGCTCGTTGTGGGTTCGGTCAGTCCAAGAACGGGGCAATCTGGTGATAAGGGGTAGGGCCCATGAGAAAGGGAGTTCTTTGTCATCCAGAGTCGATCCGAGATGGCTCAGAGCGGTAGGCTTGCGTGTCAATTCTCTCGGCTATCCGACTGGTGAATTTGGTAATAGAACTACATTTTCACTTTACCAAACTTATAATTATACACTAGTATAATCGAGACAGGTTGATAATAATAATAATAAACGCAAAGCCCAAACGATTATGAGTTGAAAGTTGAAATTCGGTACACAGTTGGGGTACGTCATGAGAATGCACACTAAAAAGAAATTTCTCGAAATTGATCGCGGGGGGAGATGGGAGGGTTAAGGATTACCCTGGAGTACTCGGCTTCTGTTGTACTGTTTTACATGCGAAGTTTTGCACTTTTTCAGGTAATCGAATATATTTTTAGACCCTTGTAAAATTATGTATTAGTATAGGAATAGGGGGGACCTAATTCCACCCGGTTAAAACGGGTAAGATTGCTTATAATCTAACAATCTTAATCTTTGCTACCGTTACTTTTTGTCCGAGCAACGCCGGACTATCTGTTAGTAATTTTATAAGCGAGATGGTGGCTTAAATGAAGAAACTGTTTCACATAAATGTGATTTACTGCATTTACATATGTATTCGACTGATATTTGTTGATAAAAGTATTACATTTATTAAATGAAATGTTACAAATAACGCATTTANAAGTTGAAATTCGGTACACAGTTGGGGTACGTCATGAAAATGCACACTAAAAAGAAATTTTTCCAAATTGATCGCGGGGGAGATGGGAGGGTTAAGGATTACCCTGAAGTACTCGGCTTCTGTTGTAATATTTTACATGCGGAGTTTTGCACTTTTTCAGGAAATTGAATATATTTATAGATTTATCTAAATGTTTTCTAATTAGTATCGGAATAGGGGGGACCTAATTACATCCGGTTAAAACAAGTAAGATCGCTTATAATCTAATAATCTTAGTATTTGCTACCGTCACTTTTTGTCCGAGCAACGTTGGACTGATCTGTTAGTAATTTTATAAGCGAGATGGTGGCTTAAATGAAGAAATTGTTTCACATAAATGTGATTTACTGCATTTACATATGTATTCGACTGATATTTGTTGATAAAAGTATTACATTTATTAAATGAAATGTTACAAATANTAATGTTACGATATCATAAACTAATAACTTATAATTGTAGCTTTAGAAGTATTAATATTGTATAATAAATAATGATAATTGCAACAATAAATTCGCTTTATTTTTATTAATTTTTGAGCCTTTGAAACCTGGGATTCCTATGCATTTGAGGCACGTTCCTCGTAGGTAATCTGTCCCTGTTGCAACAGTAACGTGCCGTGACATTTGATAATAGAAAAGCTGTGTTTTTGTAAGAAGCCGATTTCCAGGGGCAATAAGTTAATTGCGTGTCAGTGACAGTTTAGAGTCCATTCACATTCGTTTGTTCGATAAGCCAGTAAATTATAATTAAATATAGCTTTGTAAAAAAAACGTACTGTACATAAAAATAACATAAAATATTATTTTCTTTTTAAATCTTAAAACAATCCACTTAGTCAATTAACAGCCTAAAACTGGTCCTGGATAGAATCATTGAAAGCGTTATACGATATTTTGGTGTGTAGCTTCCACCAGCTAAACCGCGTGAGGTTGCTGCTCTGTAAAAAGCATACACAAAGCATATAATCTGGCTGCTTTACACCATTCAGATATTTTCGCCGTGGAAGCTGTCAATACAGCGCTTCCATTCTGCCATTGTTATTCGAATATATGTTACCGGCCAAACCTGATTTCAGGCCAAACTAGTTTATCCTATGGGTGTCAGGATATACTAGTTTAGCCTAGGACAATCTAGTTTAGCCTAAATACTTTAGGCTTAACTAGTTTGACCTAGGCCGAACTGATTTATGTACTACAAATAGGTGCCAGTGTAAAAAACACGATTTTATGTAATTCGAAATGCCACCACAGTACACCCGGTGGTTAAAGTGTACCTATGTAACCCTAGGCGGTGCTTCGGTTAGGTTGGTTTGGTTAGGTTAACTTCATTTTTAGTAGACGTTTCCTTTTTTTTTTTTTTTGTTCAANCTTCTAATCAATACCGTTTTTTATAATTAAGTAGACTACGTTTGAATAAATATTGTTCATCTAATTGATTGCCTTTTAATTTTATTTTAACCATTAATATACTTAAATCAGGCCTGGCCAACCCGCGGCCCGTCACAATTGCAATCTTATCATGTTTTTTTTCACACGTAGTATAGAAGTTTGTAATAAGATACATAATACGGTTATAATAAAATATTAATTTTAATTAATTCAAAGTACGTTAAAATATGAAAATAATCGCGCAATATGTCTTTATATTTTAGAAAATACAAGGGAAGCGGCTCTTCCACTGCTTCCAAGGACGGCACGCTGCTGGTTGGCAGTTTCATCAGCTTTTAGTGACATTTAATCGCTTTTACGTACAGCATTAACAAAATGCTAGATTAAAATTTGTGTGCCACCAAGCATGGACCATTTCACAATTCCACACTTATCTAGTTTACCGTGTTGTAATCTTTTCTCTTTCACAGTGCCATATTTCCCGTATCGATGAGCCTTTGAATTACTTACCTTGTTTCTTCTACTGTCAAAATCTCTTTCCTGTAATTTCTGAAAAGTATTGTACAGTATACACACCAAACTAAAATAATCAAAGTTTTAATTAATATGATTTTCATTTTAATGTTTGTGTTTTTACTTTTTGCTCCGGCATATCTTTTATTGAATACATAAGATAAAAAGCTTTAAAAAAAGCCGAATATATTCCTTTTATTATTAAAAAAAAACTATAAAAGGATTATTTAGTTTCTTTACAACATTCGGAATTTATGGATTTGATGATAGAGTGATAACTTTAAACGTTTAAATACGTGCTTCTTATTTTTAATTACTTATATATTATCTCTTTATCAAGTTTTTGATATGATACACGTAGTTTTTTGGAAATTCTTTTCGCTTTGTACACATTAAAAAAGGCTATCATATTTANATTGAGGAATATGCAAATAGATTACATAAAAATTTAAAGTTTACAAGTGAAGATGAACAACAAAATAAAATGAATTTCTTACATGTCACCATAAAAAGAGAAGAAACAAGTGTATCATTTAGTAAGTATGAAAAACTATGTAATAATGGTAAAAGTATTAACTTTAAATCTTACTGTCCTTTAGAAAATATAAAGAATGTCTTTAATATGGAATTGAGAAAGATACTAAATCGAACAACTCAGCAAGAAAACATAAACATCGAAGTAAAACAATTGTTTAAAAAATTTCAGTTAAATGATTATCCGAAGCATATTCTCTGTAAGTGGTACAATTTATATTTAAAACGTAGATTTAATGTTAAAAACAGCATAGAAGATATTTCTTATGTAAAGTTTCCTTATGTTACTAAAGTTTTTGAAAAATATAAACCAATATTTAAAAAATTTTCTGTATGCATAGTTGCGAGCCAAAAGAATAAGATGTCAAACATTATCAGCATAATAAACAGTGAAAATTCGCCCAGAGACCAATTTAAAATCGCCGGTGTCGTATATAGGATGTCATGTACATGTGGAAGCCCAAATTATTACATTGGAGAAACCGGAAGAAGATTGGAGTTGAGAGTAAAGGAACATGAGGCAGCCATTAGACTGAGAAGAACGGAATCAGCATGGTTTTTACATTGCAGAAAATTTAATTGTAATATAAATATAAAAAATACTAAAATTTTGTATAGAATAGAAAATAATTTAGAAAGAAAAATTGTAGAACATTTCTGTATCGCCGAACATGTAAATTTACTTAATTTGAATGCTGGAATGATTGTTGATGCATGCTGGGAACGGCTGTTGGGTATAAAACGTAACCAACGAATAACATCCTGATGTATCCACTGAGGAGGCCTAGATGGCGAAATGCATATGGATAAAATTAATAAAATAATGATTGTTCCTTGCTACTTGTTTGTCTTGTTTTGGCTCATAGAATCCTCGAAGTCGGAAATAGAAAGAGTATAATTTTTACTTGTTTTTT